TTTTCCTTTTCTGTGAGATTAAATGATTGATGATAATTGTCAAATGCCAACTTAGCGCAATTTATAATAAATTACCTTCCTAATTACGAGATGAGTATTTATTTTCTGTTTGTGGAATTTATGCTTTCTGCTCATATACAATAGAGAATGACTTCATCGTTATGTAAGTGTCTATTTTTCATAGGCATAATGCCTACATGTTTCACAAAGTAGGGCAATTTGTACATCATTTATGAGAGGTTATTAAGGGGTTTGTCGCACCTTGACAATAACAGCTGACAGGACTATAGCTCTTCACAAAATTTACCGCTAATTCAATAATACTTCGAGCTTGATCTATTTTAACCGAGCATCAATAATAATTTCACTATGTTATTTGTGGTAAGTAACTGAAAATATAATATAGGCTAAGGAGCGGAAAAAATGCTGAAAGAAACATCAGAGTATCAACGAGTCATACTTCATTGGATTTTTGAATACCAGCTACATAAGCATAATTCATTTTTTGATAAATCGATTCACGTTGGGGTAAATCTTGATGATTGTTAAGCTGATTTGGTGAAAGTGTCTAAATCAGTTGGCTTATTATCTATACCAATCAACTAACCGATAAGTGGATAATGCAATCACGCAAAAGTAGAGAAAAATATTCTAAAATCTGAGCATTTAACGTTAAGAAATAACTCATAAAGCTTAATCCCGAAGTTAACCTGCATTCGAAATTCTGCTTTTTTCTGGTGCTAAAATTTTGCTTGTTTCTCATATTCAGACACTATTGTTTTTATCTATGGTGAATATTTTGTTGCTTTACATAGGGTTAAAACTGATATTATTGCAAAATTGAAAATTAAAATCTATTACTGAAAACTATGAAAAAGAGCCTGCGTGTTTTGATTAAAGCTGAAATTGCTCGCTTTTACCAATTAACTGCTCAACAGCTTTGAAAATTGGTGAAACGCGGTTATCCACTGCTATCGTTCCTTAAATAGCAAGTTAATTCCAATTAAACTTTTAAGAAGGCAATTGTGTGAGCAAAACAACAGTAAAATCGTAAATCATCGTTCACTGAGAAAAAACTTTTTCGCCAACCAATTATCTTGAATATCCGGATTGTGCTCCTGTGATACATTAACTGGGTCATATCATTCAACTATATTTTCATTACCTCGCTTTCCCATTTATCAGTTTTCCTATCTTGCAGCCCTTCTAACCTTTCCCTTCCTTTCTCTTTTACTGTCCAATAGATCAGTTATACTAGTCAACTCCAGTTCTTCGGTCTTTGGAGGGAAGTCGTTACAGCCTATGCATTAGCCCAACTCGGTGAGATTTTCAAGGTAATTTTACAGTTGATATGTAAGCACCATCAGTTCTCTAAGCAAAGTTTTAATCTTTGTTTATCTTTTTCTTTCAGAATATGAGTAGGATACTATCATCATTTGGCCATCATTTAATCAAATGTATTTAATAATAGTGAGCAAGAAGTCAAAACAGCCTATTGTTCTACATTGATTTCACTAATTCAACTAATTATAAATAAATAAAATGGATTATATGTTGTGCAGAAATAATTAATTTTAAAATAACATTTTCTTCCTATTTATAATAGTTGCAATTGGATTAAGCCTTCCGATTTTAATGCCAATAAGAAATGGAAATTATTTTAATCTCAAATATTTGCGCAAATGTTTTAATGTGCAGTTCAGTGCGTTCCATGTTTTTGATTTATGTGTGCACGTTATTTTACTGGCCTGAAATAATGTGAATTATCTCGTACATAAGACTTAGAGAAGCACGTATTTTCCTCTGTAGGTATACGCGCACACTAAGCAGCCTAAAGGAAAAGATGTCCCCTCCTTTATTAGTTATCTGTAATTAGTACTGTATGAGTGACTTCTCATGTTTTATTGCGTTCATTTTTATCCATTTAAGCTGATTACAGATTTCGTCTTCCTCTTGGATTATTAAATTAATCTTTGCCATCTGTCCGTTGATCATGCTGGACAAACTGGAGTAATTTTGTAATTTAATTATGTCGTTATGGTATGCCATAGCTCAGACTAATTTGAATTGGCATTTTTTTGTATTTGACTTTTATATAATGAGGGAAAAATTTTAAATCAAAAAATAATTCCACACATTTGTGTGAAATTACTTATTCGACCAAATTCTGTACAGAGTAATTGAAGTCATCTATAATGATTTAAATAACCGTTTATAAATTCGGCGTAATGTACATTCAGATCATCTGATAAAAAAACTCCTATGCGAATTCCAATGCTGCTTCTTTCGAAGTTTGCGATTTGCTATGCATATTAGGGAAACAAATGGCATTTCAAAAATCATTGGTATATAATAGCAAACTTGATGGAAACCGAAGCAGAAGAAAAGGATTAATTCGAATTTTTACAAAAAGTAAAATAGGTTAGACAAAGTGGCAACGAAAAATTAACGAGCTAAATACAAATGATGCTAATTATTAAGGAAAGCGTGGGCTAAAATTTTACCATTTTAGAAAAAAAGTATAGATTAATTGCCTTTGAAATGCATATGGAGTACGCGGCACACACCGCAGATAACTGTTCTTTGGATCCGAGATATTTATTTCAATAAGGAAATATCAGACGAAATGTGTTTGGACAGCTTAAAAAATTAATCTTACAAATAAAGTGAAAGAGTATAGTTTCTACAAATAAATTTTTGAAAACTTAGTATAACAAAAATTGTGAAAACGAAACCATAAGATGTATTTTAAAGATTCATATTCACAAACAGAAATCGAATTCAACTTTTCTATAGGAAATGGGAAACATGAATCATTCAAAATCAACCTCAACTTGTGATGTGATGACGAGCTGAAGAAAATACAAATAAAACGATTATGGATTTTTGTAAATCATAACCTTTTATTGAAAAAAGAATATTGATTTGAGAAATGTATTTAACATAAGCATAAATAAATTCAGTAAAATCAGATCAAACATTACAAATTAACAAATAATAAAGTGTAAGAACGACATTTTATGCTCAAAGAATCTATCCAACAAATGCGAACGAGGATTGCCAATGATGATAATATGTAAAAAGTGCATTGAAATAAAATGTAAATGACGGGTTGAAAAAATGTTATTTTATAAATAAGTTTATCGTATTTTTACCAATGGCAGTCTTTGAAAATAATTTAAACATATAAGTAATATGAGATGGTACTTAAAATCATAAAAAAAGCTAAACGATGAAAACCAAGCATTTCAACAAGTGAATGATTTACCAAATAGAAAGTTGAAACGCCAGAAATGAAACTGCAGTAAAGGTAATCTCATAGTTATTGAAAATCGCCTTAGCATAATTGAGAGCTCGTAATCCCCATTTACTTTTGTAAAGTATGCGATAAGCGAAGGTAACAGAAAAGTATAATTTACGCGTTATAACAAAGTCAAATATTTTTTCAAGTTAGCGATAAATAAAATAAAATATTTTAAAGTACGCTATTTCAGATATTAATTAATAAAACATCAATGGCTAGATAATAGGGATAAATATTCGTAACCATATAAAGAAGGCGAAAAGTTTAATATTGTTTAATCATTCTATATAGATCGACGCATACCTAAACTTGGATTGTTATTGACTATTTTAAATTCAAATTTTGTATCTGTGTTTTTTACAGGTTTTAAATCATAGATAATTAAAATTTCATTCAATTTTATCAAAATCTTCGAACCTAAAAGTCCACATGTATGTATTTTTCGTATTTTTAATATAGTTATTTGGGTAATGTCAATGATAGAATTGGTGACTAAGCGTCTAATATTCTATTCCAAAATTTTGTACTTGATTGGCAAAATGTCAATATATATTCTTGCAGAGCACACTATTTGTTTAGACGAATGCAGTGTAAAAAACTATATTATGAAAGCACGATCGATATTTCACCCTTCTTATAAAGTTTATACGCATAACTTTAATTTTTCACTTATTGTGCAAATTTTGGCATCGCAAACTTGATTGTGGGTACATAAATTTATTAAGACAAATTAATATTGAACAAGGAAAGAGATCACCTTAAAAATATTCCCCAGCAGTATGGTCCTACTTTGAAAACACTGGACAATTTTATTATATTTTTATTTTTATTTTATTATATTTTATATTTATTTATATTTATTATTATATTTAATATATTTTATTTATTATATTTTCAAGCAGAAAAGGGTAGTAAATTTAAGAACTGCCAGTTATTTTGCTAAATATGCCACACAAGAAAGCAAAATATTTACTAATTTGGGGAAAAGATGCCTAAAAAGTGTTATCAATTTTTTAACTTATGAGTTGAGTTAATATTTATACTACAAATCGTAATACAAATAAGTTTTTTGTCGGAACTGATCGCTAGAGGGGCATGTTACATTACCAAAAACTATATAGCAAGAGGAAAAGAAATAATCCCAACAAGGAGATAGATCATTCATACAATCTCTCCTTACTACTACATCATAGATAATTAGAACGACTTAAATAAGATCCATTTTAAAAGTTTTATCATTACTAATCCGAGTGTAATAACGATAATTTTGATATAAAATCGTACTTAGTCTATCGTAAGCAACAGCACTTGCATTCCAACACACCGACCAGTCAGTTGAATTATAGTTTGCTTCTAGTCTACATGTTACTTCAAGGACAAATAATTGAAATTTCATTGTTGGTAGTTAGAATGCAAATAAAAAACTAAGATGCTGTTTTCATTTCATCATAATTTAATACATGTGCATAAGGTTCATGAATGGAAATCGTAAAAAATTCAAATTTATAGCCGAGTAGTTCTTAACATTGTTATCTATATATAGTTAGGGTTCAAAATAAAGGCTAAAAATAAATTACAAATAGGGGTTAGCCTTGAATGTCCTTGATTTTCACTGGTTACAATAAGGCTCCCTTATCAAAATTTTAACGACCTATTATTCACTTGTTATTTATCACTATCTAAATTATTTTATCTAATGTCTGATTGTCAAAATAATTCAGACGAGGAATTCTTTGACTGCACAGAACCTTTTCGTAAGTTCTTTTCTATTTATTGCTATATTTAGCTTCCAAATTTTATGCCGTTGCCGTTCCCCGTTCCTCCCCTGGTGCGGGACTATTCAGCAGTATAGCACAGGCGAAGTCTCGACTTAAAAGTGTAAAAGGATCTCGTCTTAAGGCCTTCGGTTCGATACAAGAAGCAAGTAGTTATTCCAATCGCCCTGTTTCTGAATCCATTGAAAGGCCCTTGCCAGTTTCTGAAGGTGAAGCCACAAAATTTCCCAGCATTAAACAGCAAGATCTTGTACGACTAAGAAAATACATCGAAGCTAATGATATTGAATGCATTAAGGAGTGTGTCGCAGATAATCCTATGTTCCTTATCACTGGATGTGATACCCCAACAATATTGCAGGTGCCCTGGCTTACTTCAAACTTATGTTGTTATTTATTCTTAGCTGGTCTTTCGTTTCAATGCAATTCACATTGCTGCTAAGACTGGTCGATCTGATGTGATTAAATTAATCATTTCTTATATTGAGTCTCTTGAGTTTTGGGCACGCATCTATCCCAATGCTGATGCTCGAACAGCTGAAAATAGGCGTCAGCGTGTTCTGGATCTCTATCTCAATAGTCCGGAAACTGGCGTAAGTCACTTTGACTTTTCTCCTATATTTTCACCGAAAATTTGTTCATTTAAGTGCATGTTAGGAAATACGACCTCAAGTTGCCACTTTTCTATATTGTTGGTTTACAGAGATTTAACTCGAGATGTTGACAAGTTTTTTCGTTTTGTCTCTTCTCTTGATAGATTTTGTTGATCGTACATCGTATATGCGTAAATGGCAATGCGGTATTAATCGCTGCCCTGTGGCTTGAAAATATAATGGGAAGTATTCAAGCCCATCAAGGATAGCGTTATCAGCGCTTAACATGTTTAATGAATGGAGACTCGAGTTGGAGTTGGGGGGGGGGGGAAGGGGGTGGGTGGCATTGACCATTTACTTCCTTACACGTACGCCGATAAGTGTTCAGTGTCGTTATCTCTGGTTCGTTTGGGGTGTAAGTTGACCACTTTCCTCTCCAACAAGAGGACTTTTCTCACTGTGTGCGCAAGGAAAATGTACATATTGCTGATTCCCTATTTTTACTGCATTTAGCTTATAAATAGGCGTTGCGTTCATTTCTTTCCCACTAATTAGGTTTAAATGGCAAATTTATGCTTCTTCCCTTTGATGAAGTCGGAATATTGTTGATGCGTCCTGTTTGAGTGTTCTGTCCTTCAAATGGCCTTATTTAAATTAATATTCTGATTCCAAATTTTATTTAACATTAACTTAATTATCTTTTAAATCTATTGTCTTCGCTGCATCAATTGTTCTTTTATTTTACTCAATTCCATTTTCGACTTGTTATATGTTTTAAATTTAAGATTCTCGTTAAACTCCCCAAGGGCTGTTACACTTTAGGTAGGCCAATGCAAAGAAACGATTTTGTGATATTAACCAGCATTGTCAGTTATCCATGTGGGCACATTGTGGGCCATAATTAGCTGTTCAGTGGCCAAGATCACAATATGGGGTCATGAGTTTCACACAAGGACGTTTCCAGGATACCTTCCTCCTATCCTAGTTGAGTTTTGTTGATAATTTTCTTATTGAAATCGGACGTTTTCGTACATATTATTATTACTTTGTATCTGGTCATATGAATTTTTGTGGGTACTTCGTGTGTGCTGTCTCGTTTCGAAATGACCTTCACACTCATTGTACCCATACCGACGAAGTTCGAACTCACGTCGTTTGATGAACAGCTGAAAAAGCTATGGCTCTATGTTTTTCACTGCAAACAACGTTGAGTACTAAATGAAACCAGCACGTTGAAATCGTTTATTGACATTTTATGTTCACTTTTATTGTAAATTCGTATTTCTCACCAAAATTTGCTCATAGTTTTCCTTCTCTTTCTGATCTTTTGCCATTGTTTTTTTAATTCCTTACTTCTTATTAATACTTGACCTTAATCAAGGATCTTCAGGTTTCACATTTTCAACTCCATCTGCTGTATATTGTTTGTTCTTCCTGAGCACGTATTCAGTGGGTTATAACGTGTTGAATGTCTACCTACTAACTCGTCGTAAATTCAGCTTTGTATTTGTTCTAGATGTATGGTTCAGTCATCTTTGTCACAATAAAATAGTATTAATTACCATTCTGTTCCCCCGCCCCCCACCAGAGCAGGCGTGGATAATTGAGACATACTTGGATGTAAATTAATCTGGTTTTAACTCTGCAGTTTCCGAAGTTTGTCTAGTCACTGTCTTCACGAGATAATTAACTTTTACCTTTGTTTGTTTGATCATGTTAGCATTTGAATCTCCCAGCCGCATGTCTCCTAGCTGCAACATATCTTTCATCTTCAGTGTTGCCATTGTATTATGATGCAAGCTTAGGTTGATGTTATTTTTTTCAGAACGTTAATGCAGCATTTTACTGCCTGTTAAGTGGCACTGGCCTTCATTCTGTTGCTTTCTTTCAAATCATGTCTCCTCCATTTAAAATTTCGTTAATCATTTTATTATGTCATGCATACATTCTGACTTTACCCCACCATTAACTTCGCATTTGGCCGTCAAATGTATTCTCTACTGCCAAACCAGAGTGACTGGCATCTTAGGTGTCCTCAAAACATTGATCCACTGTTCTATTCTCTGTCTTAAATCGCCTTACAAAACTACCAAGTATGCCACAGTGCTCAATTCGATAAATTGTTCTATTTTAGTGTATGTCGTCACCACTGCATATTGCCAGCAAGTTTGGCCACGTGGAGTGCGTCCGAGTGTTGGCCAACCATCCGACCACTATTCTAGATCTTCGAGATCACCTGGAGGCCACCGCGCTCGAATCCGCCTGCACCCGTCTTCTGATTGACTCCAACTGTCCCTCTCTTGAAGAAAAGTCCCTTCGAAAACAGGCTATTGTTCGCGCTCTTGATGAACGGTAAATTATCTTTTTAATGCAAATTAGTCGATGATATCAGTAAAATGCTTTTTTATCGGAAAAAAAGCTATCTGTCTATCACTATCTAATTTGATGAGGCATATTGGCATTTCACATTATGTTTATTTTATCGCGGGCTTTAATGCAATGTATTTGAGTTAAAACTGATTATTCATCATGCAACTTCCATCTGTTTGATCATTTCTTTCTATGTTCTATATGGAAGTATCTTACGTTCTCCCCAGTAACCGATTTCGATAGATAACTCCTTGGCTTAATAAGTTGTAAACGTTCTCTATGTCTCATCTTGTTAGAGGTATAGCTTCATAGAGCCACCTTGGTGGTAAGCTCAAGGCGTGTCACCTCTTTTATTGACAAAATTAATTCCTCATGGGCTATGCACCGACGGGTATGGAGCCTGTAAGCCATAACTTTGCACACAACTATGTTAGCCACCGCCACAACTGAAATTGATGCATTTTGTAAAATTTTGGTGGAAGTAACTATTGCTTATTGTTAATTGTTATTGCATTCGAATTCGACCTTCGAGGGATAATAGGAAAGAATAATCCAATTTTAACATATAGGCGCTCACCGAAACGATATTTCCTACAATTGTCTCGTTCCTTAAGTAATACCATATCCGTGTTATACAACTTGTTTGGATTTTCCGACTTAATAAACTTGTTTAGAGTTGCCTTTTAATGTATTCTGAAACGTTGTTTGTGCCATAAGTTTCCTGCACTTCTCCGCTTCATTTGAAAGTGTAGCCAGTGCATTTCCGGAGCTCGAGGTATTCATCCACCGTTAGTATCACGTGACCGTTGGATTCTACCCTCTCCCTTTTTCTGCACCTTATGATTGGGGGGGGGTACTTTTTCCCCTCACTGGTAGTCATTCGCACTTTGTTTTTTATCCCCTAAACTTGGCGAGGAATAATTTTAGTACTATTTATTAGAAGAAATATTCCCTTATTTATCTTGGGGAAAAATGCGCTCAAATTTGCATACGTCCATCCTCCTTTTGTAGACCAATTGGTAATGCGGTCATTTCCTCTGTGGCAACCATTCGCTCCTGTTATATTGTAGGCACTTTCTTGCCTTATTTTGCTTAGAGACCATATTATTAGGTCCATTTGCTTAAATGACGGCAATAACAGGTTAACGTTCGTTCCAAGGGTTTAATTTGGATAAGACGCTTTGCGGTTTATCTCTCGTGGAGAATTTATATCATTAGCCCTTTAGTTGACTTCAGGCCCCACAGAGGGGAAGGAACATCAAAGTGAAGAGTGCTTCAAAGATGTAAAAGAGACAGACACAAAAGTAGAAAAAAGGTGGGGTGAGTACTGTGGAAGTGGTCGAATATGACATACAGTGGGGTAATGGTAGTTTGAAGTCAGAAGTCAACTTCCAGTTAATAGACTTTTTTCCCGTATGAGTATACGTTGCCCAGGGTGCACCACGTGGAGGTAAGTCTATCGCACACTCCATCTCTCATGGAGAAAAGGTGTGGCATTTGACCATTTTACCCGATAATGGAAAGCTTACTCTAGGGGGTTTCAGCTATTCTGAAGGTGTTTCTAATTTGAAAGATTTCGTTTCTCGGTTGTTTGCACCCATTCTACCAGCACATTATGATTTGTTCAATAGAAGAATTGATCAGTAGGATTTACTTTCGCCAATTTCTTGCTCTTTTTTTCCTATTCCTCAATTGATCCGACACTTTATTCGTTTTATGCGATTTCTGCTTCCTACTTTTGTGTTGCGGTCTGCTTCGTGCCTTTAAAGCTATTTCGTCATTTTTTCAGTTTAGTGGTGTTCGAAAAATTAGATTGAAGCAATCTCTTTCTTTTCCTGTACGCCTTAGAATTTTTCGGTCTTTTGCTTAGTAGTAGAGAGGAAATACGTCGCTCCTTGCCCATGTCTTCTTCTATCTAGTGAATTCTATGAGGTTATAATGCCCAGCTCTCCTACATCGCTTTTCTGACATTTTTATGTTCTATTATTACTTTGTAATCACTTAGGCGTCAATAATATTTCTCCATAACTCCCAATTGTTAATATCAGACAAATCTGTTTCAATATATGTTGCATTTCTGATTTTCGTGCCTACAATTGATACCTTATATTGAAAAGCCAAACCATCCTCTGATCTCTATTTTGGAAACCTTTGCCTCTTTGTTTTAAATTTTGTAAAGCTGGTTTCAATTTATAAGAAACGTGTAGTAGTTTAGTTTATCTCTTAAAATAGTTATTCGAGAGATTGGAAATTAGGACCAAACAATGACTAACATACCACGCAGGTCATTTTGCCTCAATGCAAAAACAGGCCACCTTATTTGCATTAGATTTAGAATGACAAATAGGCGAATATCATTCGTAACAAGTATATGATAATTGAGAATGGAAGTAAAAGGTAATCAACTACATGAAATGATTAACCGGTAGGGCACGTTTGCATAATTTTCAATATATTCGTTTGGTTAACTTTTATCTCGCCACTTTTTAGCTACGTCGTACTGGTAGATCGAAGAGTCAACAGTGACATTGCAGGGTCCCAACCCGTCATATTACCCCACGGATTAATGGGTCGCCAGTTGCATAATCTTCTAGCTGCAACCGACCAGCTCTCCTGTCCTGGAGTGACCGAATTCTGTCCACATCTGGTCGGCTCCCAACAGCGTCCCATCGTTCCTTCCACGTCTTCTGTGAACTCCCATCAAACACCCACCAAGTCTTGTGCTCTCCAAAATCCCACGTCGCCACCTTCCCCAACTCTTCCATTTTCTCCAAGACGAGTTATACCTGTACCTATCTCCTCTGTATCAATGTCGTCCAGTTTCAATTCACCCTTGATGAATGGGTCTCCTGTGGAGATGGGAGTGGACCTTCGTGAATATGGGGCTTCCGGACAGCTCGTTCTTATTCGTGCAATCCTTGGACCTTTGAACACTGAGGAGGTAGGACTTTTCATTTATTACTCATAAAGAAATTGTATTTTGTGTTGGCTGTTCGTGGAGTCTGAACTTTGCTCATTACATTATTTTTTTATCAACTAGCGCATTCTGATAGACATGTTTTGCTTTCTCTTTACGTTTCATCCTTTGATTTAATAACAGCACACTAAGCCTCTTGAGTGGCGCATTCTCCTTGAAGTGCTTCAAACTCAATGGACATGGTAATCTGTGGTTTATCAAATCGTGCTTGTCACGTCCGACATTACCATGAGCCTACCATCTCTTTGCATCTCACTCTTAGAGGTGAAAATGAAGGAAAAGTCCTTAAACTTCACTGATTGTGAAACCTATTTACTGACAGCACATTTGTTTGGCAAGGTTTAACCACTGAATCCTATTGATAAGTGTCAATCGTGTGGCCACTACACCACCGACGCTTTTACATATTCTGTTGATTACGCTTTGGTGTTACATGCCTTCTACTGAATGAAGGCCAGCGGGTTGGTATTGTGATAATTTATCGAGATTTGTGTATACGACAATGTCTTTGGATATTTTATCTTTGGTAACCTTGCTTTAAATATTTTCCTGTTTAGGTGCTTAATCGATTTTTGTTGGGTAAGCCTTTTTTCACTCGAGTGAATGAAAGAACGCGAAATCACTTATTCTATCGAGTGTTTACGCCTCCATTTGGCAGAAAATTTATTGCCTTTTTGAATGCTCACTCCACGCGCCAATTTTTAAGCATAAAATGCCATTAACTGGAATTATTAGAACCTCATTGAATTGCAAGTTTGCCTAACCCTAAGATTCTATTGTCAGATGCATCACCATTGGCATCATTTTGTCTCTTCACCTCTCTCCGTTAAGTCAATCACGATTGTGACGGGTATTTTTTTATCTACAAAAAAATAATCTTTTTAAATCCAACAGATGTAAGAGATGATAAGGCTTTCCAAGTCTATATCAAATGAAAGTTATAATCCCACAAAATTCACCATTTCATCAGTGCTTCGTGTAAGAAAGTTTGTCTCTTATCTTCTCTTATTTAAAGCCGAAATTCCAACTGTTTCATCATGTGATGCAAAGGCATACTTTTATTCATTCGTAAATGTACAAGTTATTTTATTCTATCGTCTCCAAAGTCACTGTCATGTTTCCGCCAATGCAAAACTTTTGGCTAATTGTGCGCTTATATTTTATTGGAGTATTATTTCATTTATATCAAATGGCAGCTCTTTAGTTGACCACGGCTTCATAAAGAGGAGGAACATCAAAGTGAGAAAAGTTGAGAGGGGGAACAGAAGTGGGATTCAAAATCGTAAAAGAGCCGCAGACACCAAGGTGGAGAAAAAAGGTAAAGTGAGTACTGTGAAAGTGGTCGAATATGACATACAATGGGGTCATGGTAGTTTGAAATCAGAAGTCAACTGTTGGTCTACAGACTTTTGCCGTATGGGTATACGTTGCCCAGGGTGCACCGCGTGGAGCTAAGTCTATCACCCCACCCTCCCCCCGCCACTTCCCAGAGTAATATTTATATTATATAAATATATACTTAAAACTAATTCTTCAGTGTGATTTTTTGATTTGCATTATTTTGTAGGCAGAGAAGGCCGTGACTAGTTGGAAAAAGCCACGAAATCCCTTCTGGATGAATCTTCGAATGGTGGACGCAGAGAAGGGCTATGAGCGATTTGGACGGTATTTTCTCATATATAGTCAAAAGTTCATGTTTAGTATATTACTTATTTAAAGCTGCTTTAATCTCGAGAGTAAATCTATTTTAAAAACACGAAAAGTTGGGCTGAAAAGTCTCTTTACAAAATTACTTATCTCCTTAAGGGCTAATGACACAAAACAGCCTTTTCCGAAATCAGATGACTAAGAATTTAATAGGGAAGAGTTAGTTAGAGAAGATATCGTGAATTAGAATGGCAAGGAAAGTGTACTAGCACTGGGCAAGTAGAACTCCAGGTGCGTTATTATCAGGCAATTGTCTTTATTCTGCGCCACATCTCACTTGATTTTTATCTTGTAGTTTGTCTCTACTTACTTTAATGTATTTTGGGATGATTACCATCTAAGTAACATTTTAAGCACTTCCCTACTTTCACTTTTAGTCGACTTGCAAAGGAGTTTAACACCAATTGGACAGAGCATTGGAGTTTTCTTGACGACTTCGCTGATCTCCAATCACCCTATGGCTTAGGTATCCTCAACGATTATCTCGCCCAGCTATACGCAATAGATACCGAGACTGTACAAAATGATCGGCAGTTTTTGAGTTTACCTGTCGGTGGGAAACTTGATTTCGATGATAGTTTTGCAGAGGGAAATGTGACAAAGACTGATAAAGATTCAAGGATCAAGAAAACCCCCACCAAACGCGTCAAGGGTAAAGAGATACTAAATGACAGCAAATGTTCACCGATAAGCAAACGGAAAATGGTCAATGGAAAGAGAAATGACGAAAATTGGACAGCTTATAGGGAAGAAAATAATCCAGAACATGTGTTAAATGACTCACTAGATGATACAGCCTCGTCTTCTGGTTCTTCAAACGATTCTACCTATTCTCATGACAATACGGAAGGGTGAGTTTCTATTTATTACCAAGTAATTTGAATTCCAACTTTGATGTATAACACCAAAGATCACTCTTTTCAGGTGTTTGTGTTTCGGCAGAAGCTCTATAATTGATCGATTTATCAAGCTTATATATAGAATACTAGGAATGTTAGCAAGGCGGTAAATTTATCTCTACCCTCTTTTTTAACCGTTTTAGTAGTTTTAAGATAACCAAATAAACTTATTACGGAGTGTTAGTGGTTAGGGATCTATTTATTTTTCACCTTTTAGGTCGAAACCTTTGTCATCACAGCAACAAGTTTCTCCCGTGGTTAGTCTGCTGAGTAACTTTACTGTTAATTCTCCTCTTCGACTACTATTACCTCCTCCTTGTATTGAATCGATGTTTGTTCGGCCTGAAAGGCGAATTTCTATGTTCGATAGCAATGCTGTAAATGCAAGTAATCTCAACGCTCCACGAGGATCATCACCGTTGAAATCGACACCTGGCAGAACTCAAAAACCTTTTAATATTCTATCGTCAAGGCGGCACATAATTGATGGTGTTTGGCCGAGTATTCTATATAGTCCAAAATCTGGGGGCATTCGAGAGCAAAGAAGTCACTTAATGGCAACAATATCAACGGCGGAGTTGGGTGCACATAGCGCAATAGAACTTGAAATGCCCCCTGGGGATACGATGAATACAGATGTTATGCAGGAAGTGGATTTGGAAGGTTACCCCTTTGTGAAGAGGTGGAAAAGGGAATTGGATCTCACATTTCAACAACCTTAGATTATTGGAGGAAGTAGATGCGATGCTGAAATATTTAATTATGTACATAAAGTGTATTTTCGCATATTTTATTATTGAAACCTATTATTATTATTTAAATTCGTCAGTCCTTCCTGTATTCCGGTTGTACGTACCATAATTTTGAGGCGAGATCTATTCAATATATTTTAGTTACAAGTCACTAATTATGCATAACTGTAAATAACCGTTTGGAAATAGGTATTATGATATTGACAATTTTGGGTGTGAACAGTGGAACAAGCTGATGACTTAGTACGCATTCCAGGGGAAGTTGTTGCTCAAATGCACAGACTTGTCTTAATTTATTTGTATTCAATCAATCCTTCACTATTTCAATGTTTTTCCTAGGCACTTCTACTTTTGTTATAGAATCAGGTATATCATCATTATATGTCCATTTAGAAGAGTGAGCAGTTAATATAAGGTTTGTTCTTGAAAAAGTTACCATCATTGTTTGGTGTCGGAGAAAAAATCTGGTGATTTACGCCACGGAGAAAACATTACGAATAAGAACTGATTTCAACAAGCAAGTAATTTATATTCAAGGACAAATTTGGGACAACGATCTATTTCATTTTTTAATTTACCTTATCCAATAATACTCTGAATTTTGAATCTCAAAATTGATGAAGGTTTTGAAACCTTGTATGAATTAATAAACTGTCAGTTATTGCTGTCTATTTTTTATTTTAACTATAATGTGTAAGCATGAAAAATAGTTTAATCTTGCTTGAATTTATTTAATGAATTCGTTGCTACTACACGAATAGAGCTTTCCTAATCACTGATATATCATATAAACTTGATGTACATAGTGTCTTTATTAGCTACTTTTATTCATACAATTGAATGGAATTTTATAAATCATAAAATACTAAACCTAATAAATTTCATTTTTATTCTGGATTTAAATATTATTTCAAACAATTTGATATTTTTCTTATAGTATTCCAATTTAATGCAAATTATGAACATAGGCTTTATCAATGTCGCTTTTTAACTGGACGAACTTCGTTTGATACTTTTTTCTGATTGGTGCAAATAATTTATCCATTCAGGATGAAGTGTCTTCGTGGTTCTTCAAAAGTGTGGGTCAGTACGAGTTACTGTACTAAGGTGCAAAAGGGAAATGAGTGCTTTCACATCTTCTCCTCTGACAGTTCCAGAAGTTTCCCATAAAATGACTACTTTGCAAAACCTTTTAAATGAAAACGCCTATGAAGTTGGACCTTTTAGCATATCCGGTCGTTTACAAGACAAAGTTGATGAAAAAGTCGAAATCGAATTGAGCCATATTGAAAAGCCTGTGACTATTTGCTTTAGTAGTGGTGCCTGTGCCAAATTTCAAAAGCCAACTCCACTGGCTATTGATTGCTCAGAGGTCGTCAAGTTTCTCAAAAAATTGTCGGCTAATTCACACAGTGATTTTGATCTCCTTGCTCAGTCTTTGGTTGGTAGCCTGGATGTTCACTTCGGTGATCTTGTAGCTTTCGACAGGTCTACATATGTTGCCTTGACGGCAAATAGCCTTGACTTCGCTGAGCGAGCAAAACTTACCAACGCTTGCGCTGGCCAATCCAAGCCCATTTGTCTTTACATTTCTCCATTTGATAATGACTTCTTTCATGTGATTACTCGTATTTTGAGAGCTTTAATTCGTTGTAAGCCTGTTATCATTTACTGTGCATCGCAACGTTTAATGGTTCCTCTTTTTGCCTTTATGCACTGTGCTATTGTTGCTGGTGCTCCGGCCGGAATTCTCAGCTTTCTGCCCTTAAATAAGATAGACTGGAAGAATTCCTACTTCTCCTCTATTCAAATGGTTATGAAACCAGCTGATTTGGACAGTGCTACTCGAGCAATCGTAAAGAGTGCCACTTATCAGGCTGGTACCACTTCATGGCGTCCAACCATTGTCCTAATCGAACAGAGTTATGAAACCGATTTCCACAACAAGGTTAAGAGTCTCATCTCTGCTGCAACCGGTAGTAATGGCACTTTGAATGGAAATTCACATCTTCAAAATAACTGCGTCATTCCATCTTACTTGAAAGAGGATCTTGACGAGTTCCTCAAACTAGCTGAAAATGACTCAGGAGAAATTATTCGTCCCTGTGATGAAACAGGCCCCGTTTTTATCTTCGGTCTAACTCCTGCCTCAGCAATGTTGGATAATTCCAAGTGTTTCCCTCTTGGTCCATACTCTATTGTCTTACCCTTCAGAACAGTTAATGAAGGTCTCAAATTAGCCAAGTATTTCAGCGACAGAGAAACTCGTTTCCTGGGAGCTGGGGAGTACACAAGCTGTATTCCCAAGTCGGCCACCATTTGGACAGAAAACTCAAGCCTCTCACTGCAAGTGCTAAGCAAATTATCTGGCTATAATGTACTCGGAGTAAACTGTGGTGTTAACCGTTTATCTGCTTCATTCAACCTTTCTGAATGCTCTGTAGCCACTCCATCTATCCATCTTTGTGGTCTACCAGTTCCTGTTAATGATGTCTTCCAAAATGTCAATGCATGCGCTGCGGCTGATTTAGCTAAAACCATTTCTGCAACAGAAAAGCTATCTGCTGCCTGGAGGAAGATTTCTTTCGAACGCCGTTTGGCTGTCTTTACAGCTCATGAAGAATTCTCAAGCCTGACCCCCACCTTAAAGAAACTTAACTCTGATAGTATTGCTCAAATGGCCCCATCGTCTTCTCATCTTACTCTTGGTGACCAATTAGACTGCGCTTTCAGTAGCAAGCGTTTGTGCTTGCTTCGCAAGTGGCAAAATCCTTGTGGTGCTGTAACCATTACCCTCATGTCTAATGAACTTCTTCCTAGCCTGAAAGAGCTTGTTCTCTCTACAATTGTTCTTGGAAATGTTGTCATTCTGGCTGTACCCGAATCAAATGCTGTCTCAGAAGCGGTTCGCAACTTCTGCAATACTATTGTCAAGTTGGTTGCTAGCTCTTCTCCCACTATAGCATCTCTTGGACCGATTGTGCAAGTGAAACAGATGAAAGTTTGTCCCAAGGATATTTCTTTAGCTCTTTCTAGTCTTCCTATTGCTGGAACGCTCTGCGTCTCGGCTCCCGAAGATGAAGTACCGACTGCTGAAATGAGTGTTGAAAACTTGTGTCGTTTCACCTCAGTATTCTGGTCTGTTGGAGGTGATCTCTTCGCCAATTAATTCCTGTCGCTGCTGCTATTCTGTGCCTATTATCGATGGTAGACTAGTTAATCATGCTCTCGTTAAAATGGAATAAATAATTGTATGTTATATCCCACTTTTGCACTTATCTGATTATTGGAAAAGGCGTATTTTGTGGTTTTGTGTACCTGTGGGTGAATTGTTCTGAATTTAGTCGGGACGTTTTGTTCCCGTAACCGGCTGCTTATATTCAGTGGGTCTGTTTCTAGGGTTTGAATAACAGTTTAGACATACTTGAATTCAGTATTTAGCCCTTTCCATAATTGAATATGTGCCCTTTCATATTCTAAACATTGTGGTTCTACGTTATTTCTCCAATGAGTAAATCTTTTCAGTGAATATAGTGAAGCGCATATCGGTATGGCCTTAATTTTCACCATTAAAATGGTTACACATGGGTACTAACTGACAAGTAAAAAGGGTATAGCTATTTCCTCAGGCAGTTACAACCACTCTGTTGGCTAAAGTAATGAGGGCATAGAAGTTGTAGCTTATTGTTAAATTTTGGTAATTTATAGATGCATAAGTGAGGTAGAATCCTCATTTGGCAACTCTTCGAGAACCTTAATCTAGTTTGGAGGTTTTTGAAATTTATAAAAATTCTCAATTGTATTTTGAACCTCCAAGTTCTTGAATCCTTTGAGATTTTTTCTAAGCAGAAATGTGAAACCACGTTTTTGCTCTTTTATACTAGAACAGTATATACTTGAGCTTTGTAAGTGACTAAGTGTTTAGAAGATTGAGTTGTTATAATTATTTAGTACGACTTAATTATACTTCAAACCAAGGAATGGGCAGAGAAGTGACGAGCAGAACCTTAATTGAGAAGACAGACAGATAACAACACACGCAAAGCAGAGATGAGCAAATTTGTGGTTGATTGATAAATGCGTGCTCCTTTTAAGGCAGCAAAATTTTTTAGGAATGTATGGACACAGAGGCTTTTGTGCAAATTAAATGAGGAACAACATTTGCCTTGGACCATATCAGCTAATTAAGGACTTCCAATAGGAAGAGTCAAATCGAGCACCCAGAATTTTGTCTCAATAACAATTTTCTACAATGGATGTTTCGGGGTGTGCGATAGATTTACCTCCACGTGGTGCACCCTGGGCAACGTATTCTCATACGGCAAAAAGTCTATTAACTGGCAGTTGACTTCTCACTTCAAACTACCATCACCTCACTCCATGCCATATTCGACTATTTTACAGTACTCACCTCACCTTTTTTCTACCTTTGTGTTTGTCTCTTACATCTTTGAAACACTCTTCTGTTCCCCCCCCCTCTCGACTTTTTCAATTTGATGTTCCTTCCCCTCTGTGAAGACTGAAGTCAACTAAAGGGCTAATGATAACCATCAAAACGCCTGCCATTTGATATAAATAAATAAATAATGGAGGTTTCCAAAAAATCCACCTCAT